AAAAAACTATAACGACTCCGCAGCTAAAAACAAGCCCTCGCCTAATTTATTTACATTTCACGCTCGCAGAGGCTCGACTCGACTCGACTCGGGTCGGCTCGCACAAGTAAACAGAAGCCGCTACCCCCAATCTGACAACAACAAAATACAGATGAAATTGAAGAAGAAGAAGAGAAGACTGGAAACCGGTTGACAAAACATTTGCCAACTGGAACTCACCTGAAAATGAGATGGACGTGAAAATTAATATGCCTCGACGTGTGCCGTGTGTTGTAGGGTGTACGATAAGAGCACAAAAATAAATTAAGATGCAGATCTAAAAATAGCAGACCGCAATAACAAGCGACAATAACAACGCAATTGTTGCTTGTTATTTGAGTTCCCCTTAGCCAATTGGTTTCCCGTTCAATTAAATTCCATCATCGACATGATTTATATAAAACAAATAATCAAATCGCCTTTTCCTCTGTCCATATTACACATAGAGCATTTGGAAATCGCATAATCAGCAGACACATGAAGTTTCGCAAAAAAAAATATTTGTATTGAATTCTTATTGGACTTCAGTCAAATAAATAAAGTTGGAATGGCAAGCGCTGCAGTCAAATGCGGTGCGAGAGAGAAAGAGAGAGAGTTCAGTGAAAGATAAGAAACGAGACTGTCTCTGCTTTTTAATTTGTTTAAATTTAGTAAATTATGGCCAGCAGGTATAATGCAATGCACATTCCTTCTCATTAATAGAATTCCTAAATAGTGTTTTTGTTTTTCTAATTGGAATCGCAATTAGATTAGAGTTCAATGTTTTGGGTGAATGGCAAAATTGTGCAATCAAGGCCAGGTTTTCCTTTGCCTTATTCTAAAGCTTTTACTGTGACATTTATTATCATCTTGTTTTTATTTATTATTTATAATGAATTATTTTTGCGCAACGTGGGCCGTAACATCGGCTGCCGCTGCTGCCAAAAATAAACTAAGCACGTGAACACTGCATGATTTGAACAGATGATTACGATTCACACATACAAATATACACACATATGTACATACATATATATGTGTGCATGTGCGAGCATGTTTGTGTCTGCTTTGGTTTTGTTGTTTCTCAGTTTTGCTTTGCTTTGCTTTCTATCTGTTTCTTATTTTATTTTTTTTGGCGCCTATGCCAACTTTCGCGACTGCAGCAGGTCAATTTGTCTAATTATTGTTGTTGTTCAACTACTTAAACGCAACTGCGCCGTTGCTGCCTTTACTTTAAGATTCCAACTAAAACCGGTTTCTAAGTTTTGCCGATAAGACGCAATTGACAATAACAAAAATAACATACAAAAAATATTAACATATTTTTCAACACTTACGCGCCGGCTAGTAAATGTATCAGCGTATCACGATTTTGGGACATAATCGAGTTTTGATTTTTCCTTAAAGTATTATTAACGAGCGCTTGTAGCTCGACGGCCTGTGGGGCCCCGGAGCCGGGGAAACGGCTGTGCTCCCGGCAATGGAATCTTTTTTATATTCGCTCTGCGCTTCTTTGTTTTTGTTTTGCATAAGCGGCAATGAAATTTTCGTACTAGTGTTGATTGATGTTGCAGTTGTTGTTGTTGCCTTCGGGCGTTCTTATTTTGGCGCTTACAATGGTCGCGGGGGTTATGCAACTACAACAACTATTCTCACGGATTTCTTATCAAACACCAAAATATATTATTTGGATAAATATATGAACAAATTGAGCACTTTTATAACTGAGTTACACTTGTTTGCCTTTATCTGGCCAAATTATATGTGAAATTCATAAAAAATATATATATGTATATAGAAATATATTTTTTTGCTTTGATTTTCGGCGAATTCAGCAATTAAATCGAGAATGCGTACGTCTATTCCGTTGGTTTTACAAAGTAGAACTGAAGAGCTTGGGATGAGTGTTGTTACGATAACATTGTTCGCCATCGATAGAAACGTACCCTACGATATCGTGATTTTGTGATCGATACTTGACATGTGATATTTACCTCAAGTACCTGGTCACATTCTACTTAATTGGCGCCGATTTTTTTCGATTTTAAAATTAAAAATTTTTACTTCATGTTAAAAATTTCAATTATCTGATGTTAAATAGTTGAATATTTATTAGTACTTAATACAATATACAAAACTAAATCAATTTGATTTACTTGTAATTTTATGATAATTTATTAACAGTTCTGGAGTCTATGCATAGCTGTTGCAATCTCTTAATCTCTGAGAGTTCAAATAATTCAACGAAAAAAAAAACGAATGGGAAAATCAATGTTAACGATGGAAATCGTAGATAATAATTACAATTACCTTCCAAGCCATGACACATGTCTTTCTCCCTCTCCCCCTACCTCTCTCTAATAAATATAAATATCAAATTAGGTTTGTTTAGATTTTATGCATGGCCGTTGTTTTTATACCCTGAACCCATTGAAAATGGGAAATCAGGGTATAATGGTTTTGT